CTTTAAGAATGCCAAATACAGGAGGTGAAAATCTCTTTTATTGACTAAAGGCAGAACTATGTTTATTATTAGACCGTATACAGAATGGAAGGTACAGAGCAGGTTTTACGTCACACGTATTATATGTGAAGGCGGATAAAGGCAGGGATGGGAGACTATGAACATTGACACACCTACCTCAAGTCAAAGCCGGATGCAGTGACAATTATCAAGATAAGTCACTGCTTAGTTTATCTGGGAACATTCTGAGTGAATGACCCTGAAACTCGTTACAACATTAACCCTTTCACAAAAACACTGTGTAGTACTCACAGCTTAGCGTAAAGATAATGGTTCTCATATCGATCTTCAAAGAAACAGGAACTGTGCAATAAAGATGGTCTTATCTGGCCTTTGAAATTCAAGTAGGGATTTTACTATATGTGTAGGAAAACCACTTGGTAGGAATTTCTACTGACATCCAATCAGCTCCCACTAGCAAACCCCGATTTATATATGGCCATCATAGATCTCCAGAGAAATAAATGGGGAGTCAGGACCAGCCAGTGTTGTTACACTATTGCAGGTTAACAGTTGCTATGACAACAAACTCCACTCCAAACTCCCTCCAGTCCTCAGCTGAAATGCATTAAAGGACCACTATAGGCACCCAGACCACTTCAGCTTAATGAGTCCCTCTAGGATTAACCCTTTCTGCTGTAAACATAGCAGTTTGAGAGAAACTGCTATGTTTACATATTGGTTAATCCAGCCTCTAGTGGCTGTCTCATTGACAGCCGCTAGAGGCCCTTCCGCGCTTCTCACTGTGATTTTCACAGTGAGAAGATGCCAGCGTCCATAGGAAAGCATTGAGAATATTTTCCTATGGACTGGCTGAGTGCGCACGCGGCTCTTGCCACGCATGCGCATTCAGCCGATGATGGCCAAAGGAGGAGGAAAGTCCCAGGTGCCGAGGGAGCCCCCTTCCTCTCCATTCAGCCCGGCGGGAGTGGGACCCTGAGGGTGCCCCTATAGTGCCAGGAAAACGAGTTTGTTTTCGTGGCACTATAGTGGTCCTTTAAGTTAAACAATTTAGTGCTAAAAGGCTGCAGACCTCCAGCACATACTGGAAAAGGCAGATCCAGAAAATGAGGAGACGTAGATTAAAATCAGTGAGAGAGGATAGGAGGCACAGAAACAGACTGAAAGGCAGAATAGAATTACAGGAGGGAAAGAGCGCAAATAAAAGAGAGTGGGTAAGGGTGAGAAGTGGGGTTGGATTAGTCTGGACTGGAAACATGAAAGCAGGAATAGAAAGAGAGAGCATGTGTTGTACAGAGATAACTAATGACAGGAGGGCTGAAGGACAGGTAGAAAGACCTGGGTGGACAATAAGGGCTGGAGGAGTGAGGAGGGGGAACAATGATCTAGAACACGAGTCAGCAACCTATGGCACGTGTACCATGCAGAGCACTCAATGCTGCCAGAGACAGACAGGGTCTGGCCTATAAGAAATCCCAGTTTGATTGATATTTGCTAGTGCAACCCGAGCAGAGATTGCAAGAGGTGAGGGACAATCCTCAATTTACACATCGCAGCACTTAGAGGAAGTGATTTCAGATTTCCTCTTCCCAGCACTTGTGAACAGGAATCTACACTTCAGTAGAGCAGCCTACTCCTACCCTTGACCTGTACGTGGCCAGCCTGGTCCATCCTGCACACAGGGAAGCCACCCACACTGCTAGAGGGTGAAGCCTCTCCCTCATACAAATAATACTAATAGCCCCCAAACACAATAGTGTTAAGTAACACAAACACAATATGGCAACATACACACCTCAATTAAAAAAAATAAAAAATAGGACCGCCAAGTCAAGGGACTTCAAGATTAAGCTTTGGTACTACTAAAAGGTTGCATACCTCTGATCTAGAATGCAGGAGGAAGATATGTTAATATGGCAAAAGAGAGAGATTGCTAAACCTGTTCGGAGCATCCAGGAATATTGCTGCAGGATCAATGACTACCTGCCTTCTGAAATGGACCCCAAAATATGTTAACACAAAGTTACCACGGCTTTCACAGCATGTTCCTAGATATGTTCAGAAACCTTGTCTCATTTACAGACTTATTCACTAAATTAAGAATTGCAGGGAATTCCAAGTGAATTTCAAATTTAAGGTCAAAGTTAAACACTTTAGTTGCTCGAAGGCTCCAGACCTCATCACATACTGGAGGAAACCGAAAGGTTCTCGCAGTGAACTATGCTTTCAGTTCGGTTACTTTTGGCTTTCAATTTCAAATTCCCTTTAAATTCCCCAAAATTCTCTTTTTAGAGAATAACTCTGATAATTTCATTACTCTGTTATTGAATCAATTCCGGGATGTGTACATTGTTCATCTTTCGTCTCAATGTGGTGTGTCTGTCAGTGTCGCATAGTACTGACATACTCAAGGCCTTTGGACCAGTGTGAATGAGAACTTGGCTACTGGCTTAGCTCATCTCTATGTTTTGAAACAAACTCAATTTTTTGTACATTTGTTAAAGGGAGTGGTGTTGTAGAGCCTATTTATTTTCTAAATAGTTAGTTGAGCCTGTAACTTCATCTCTCCAAACCTTTCAAGTAACAATCCCAGTTTGGTGAGGAGAGTGTATGAAGGCTGATTAAACTAATGGTCAGCACTACACTGCCCAAATACAATACTTAAAAATAAATAAATCATTATTTAGTAGACTTACATCCAAAGAATTCTGCATGCATTTAATTATGTTTTGTTGTTTCCATTGGGGGTATAACAATATCCTGTTTTCACCAAATGGTGATCAAAAAATACCCCTCTATATTCTTCACAACAAAACTTTTCCTTGGGTTTCTCCACTGAATATTTGAGATATGTAAGATGAGTAAATGGCAATGTTTATAAAGTTCCTATAATATGTTTAGTACACGCGTCCCATATGGATCCTTTTGATGTGCATACTCTACAACAAATCAGTCAATTACGTAGGAAATCTGAAAAACCAGCACAAAGTGTATAATGAATAGAGAATAGTGTAATGAGTTTATTGTACTAGAGGTAATTTGAAATGCCAAATGACTACTCTCAATGGAAGTGCTGATAAACAGGCAGTATAATGCAACACAATATAAGTTTGCATCTACTTCACTGTTCCCCGTTGAATTTATCATGTCCCTCGATGGTTCACTCTATGTCCTGCTCATATGACCTGGGCCATTATAGAATGCCGGTATGGGTGCAGTTGACCTTACCAATTCCTACGCGTTTCATAGGACTGCTCCTATTTCAGGGAATACTGGCGATCAACCACACACTACTTGTTTGATAGTTAGTATCCTTCTTATTAATCCTTTATTAGTAAGTTACAAAATGACCCAGGAATTGTTACTTTTGTTACTAAATGGAAACAATCTATATCAACATATTTTAAAAACATTGTTGCAGAAAAATCTTAACTTTTATTCTCCACTAAAGGTAAAAATACTCTTGGGACAGATAAGGACAAAATATGAAAAGGACTAGACATATATGACCTTAAAATGGTATACTACATTTAAATCACAACTTGAAACAACCAGTCTCTTCATTAAAAGATAGAAGTACATCAATAAAAATGAAATAATGACAAAGGATATATCTATTTTTTCTTTATTTTTTAATCTGCAGCCTTTGCAAGCCCTCCCTTTCTGACTCTGCCCAGACCTTCTGTGACCGTCCAATCACAGACTTCCCAATGCAGTTCAATGAGAAGTCTTTGCAAAGCAGGAGCTCTGGGTAATTGCTGATTCTGGAGTTTAGTTTATCTGAGCTAGACAAAGCAGGAAGTAACAGGATGATTGACAGCCAGAGCGGTGGAGGCTGTAACAAGGTAAATTTATAAAACTGTCAATTTCTATTACAAGTTGCACTTTTTGTAAAATGAAAAAAAGGGCTATTCACACATAAAGCATTTCAGCAATCAACAACTCAAACAACTAGGGTTCCAGTATGTACAATTACAATTATTTATATCGCCTTAATATATTTCACAGCGCTTTATAATAGGCAAACAAAACAGACACTAAATTCTAACAAAACATGATTGACATACTGGAATAGTAGGTGATGAGGTGACGTATTGTTCTTAAAAGTATTTTATTATTTATATATTTTTTTGTAATACACAAATTACTCAACATTTTTTCCACGAGGCCACAAGTTTTTAAATTACGTAAGCTTTACTGCTCTAACAACAAATCTGTGGGAACTAGAAATTCAGTTCCTGTGTCATTTTGAAATTGCCATATTACACTTGTACATAAAGAACATTTGGAAATAATTTAACATCATATTTTTTCATACTGTATTTGAGTCTTCCAGTAATTTGCGTAAGCAGCGTTCTTCGATATGTTCTGCCTGACAATGGAGATGCCACGTTATGGACGGTATATTTAGCAGCATTTGCAGTTACTAAAAGGGACACTATAGGCATTAAAACAACTTTATCTTAATGAAGCCATATTGGTGTATAAATCATTACACTGCAAACTCACTACTTAATTCTCTGCCATTTAGGAGTTAAATCCCTTTTGTTTCTGTCCTAGCTGTGACTAACGCATTTTACATGAAAAAAAAATGGTTCCATTTTAAATCATAGCAGGTGAGGGAGGGAAGGGTGACACGTGCCCTGTCTGCAACCAGTGGCGTACATACCACGGTCACTCCAGGGGGCCCGGCCACCCTGCGGACCCCTGCCACCGGGTACCCGCCACCATCTTTTGTGGCCCTGGGCTGCACGGTATAACCACCGGGGCCGCAGTCCAAAGGGTCCATCGGATGGCCTATGCTGTTAGGGCCACCCAATGGAGATGGATTGTCAGGGGGACCGGGCAGCGCTGCGGTGCTTTAACAGCACGAACGGGCCCCCTGTGATGAGATCACACGCTGGGAGGAAGTGACTGCATGTCATTCCTCTCAGCTAACACACAGAGCCCGCGCGGGAGGAAGCAAAGGAGTCAGAGTGGGAACTTTGACTCCCATCAACCTGAACCACCACTGGACCCCAGGGTCCAGTTTCCCTGGGGTCCAGTGATGGTTCAGGTTGATGGCAGTCGTGTGTCTGTCTGTGTGTGTGTCTGTGTGTGTGTGTCTCTCTGTATATGTGTGCGTATCTGTGTGTGTCTGTCCATATGTATGTGTGCCTGTTTGTATGTATGTGTCTTTGTATGTATGTGTGTGTGTGTATGTATGTATGTATGTATGTGTGCATGTGTGCGTGTCTGATTGTATGTATTTGTCTTTGTATGTGTGTGTGCCTGTCTGTGTCTGTGTGTGTGTTGGTCTGTATGTGTCTGTCTGTATGTATGTATGTGTGCCTGTCTGTATGTATGGGTTTCTTGTGTGTGTGAGTCTGTATGGGTCTGCATGTATCTGTCTGTATGTGTATATGTGTATATGTGTATATGTGTGCGTGTGTCTCTATGTATGTGTGTCTGTATGTGTGCATGTGTGTGTCTGTCGGGGGAGGAAGTGGGGGGGGAGACATAGGGGGGGCCACAAATCAGTTTTGCACTGGGGCCCCATGGATTGTGTGTACGCCACTGTCTGCAAACCATTAAACAGCGCTACAGAATCTGATCGCACTATATAAATAATAATAAAAGAATGTCGGTTGCCAGTGTGCAGTGTGCCCTGCAGGCAGATGTCAAATATGTAGAGAATTGACATGTAGCAGTCCAGAACAGAGTTTCAGGCTGCCAAACTTACGTGAGCCGAGGTTGTAGCTAGCCCCTGGTACACAAGTGCTAATAACTCTGGATATGCAGCATACATACAGATTCTTTCCTCCATGAACACTTCAAAAAGCAGAAGTTGTCATGGACATTGGAGTAACCCTTCAACTAGAGAGCAGCTAAATACTGACAGAGGCTACAGAGACTTCCATGGTTCCAAAAAGATTAAGAGCCTCGACGAATGCTGGCATGTCGACCTAGGAAAGAGGAGGATTTCGGTGCCGTGGACCTGGCTATGTTGGAGTGGCTAGGAGGGGACCCCTCATATGGGTAAACAAACACAACTTTGTTGCATGATTCACAAAATGTAGAACAATGGCCATCTGATTAATTGGATACCTCCTAACCATCCCACTTTGTGCAGGACAGTCCCAACTTTGGTCCTTCCGGAGTGTGTAGGGAACTGCACTCCCTACCATCAGTTTGAGCCAGGGTGCTTAGCTGTACCAGATTCCCATAAAAGTAGTAGAATATCTTATCTAAAGAATACATTATTCCAGAAACATGTTCTGAGGTGGTGGCGCTATATAGATGATGTGCTGTCTTTGTGAGATGGCCCATTGGAATCCCTAGATTCCAATTCTTTCTCTTTTTAAACAGCTGCTCAGCTACGATTAAATTTACAGTGACCATGGATGTCAAATCAATTCCATTCTTGGACATTTTGGTCTCCAAAGCAAATGGAAGACTGGAGACGAGTGTGTATAGAAAGCCGTTATATAAAAATAACATTCCACACTAAAACAAACCGACTAACATCTTACAGAGATGGCTATAAGATTTAGGGAGAGAGGTCACCCCCCTAAAATACTACAGGATCAATTAGGCTCGGTAAAAACTTTAACTAGACATAATCTGTTTATATCTAAACCAAAACGAGATATAGGTAAAAGAGTTAAATTCATCTCTCGATTCAGTACTCTGTCTACTGACATAAAGAGGTTTTTGAATAAACATTGGGATATATTCTCCAAATGCCATCCTGATATTGAAGAATTTAAAAATAATAATAATGTCTGTCTATAAACGAGCACCATCATTACGTGACAAGCTGGTAAAAGTGGAGTTACCAAAATTATCTAAACAGGGCTCTAAAAAGAGTGGCAATTTTCCTTGTTTTAATTGCATTTGTTGTAATTCAAGGATCAAAGGATCAGTGCTCTGCCACCCACGTAGTGGTAAAAAATATTCAATCACACAATTTGTGACATGCTTGACTACTTTTGTGGTATATATTCTTAAATGTCCATGTGGGTTGTTATATGTTGGCCAAACTACACAAAAAATGAAGGATAGAATTTGTAAACATAAATCAACAATTAGGATGGGCCTTTTAGAACTACCTATACCCCTACATTTTAGTGAAGCTCATCACAATGTCTCTCAGTTGAGATTTCAAATAATTGAACATGTTCATGAAAGCCCCAGACGTGGAGATAGACAGAAGCGATTATTACTGCGAGAAGCTTTTTGGATACAAGAATTAGATGCCCTCCACCCAAAGGGTTTGAATCAGGAATTCGATCTCATATCGTTACTTTAAAATGTTTGTTTTTATGCATTTTTAAATTGTGTATACCTAATGTTTATTATTTTTATTTTTTCACCTTGGCGTCCACAGGGAAGCTTTTTTGGCGTCTCTTCACATACATGGTTAGTAGTTTATTTGCATTAATTCATGCTGATTATCAATGTAAGCTCATTACGATCAACAGCTGTCATTTTCTGGTCTTGTATATTTGTTCACATATGTGCTGTATTTTATTTGATTGTATAATTTACCTATATATACTGAGTTAGTTGGTGTATTTGTTAGCTTGAAAAAGACCAAGCTGGTCGAAACGTTGCTGCAGTTCTAATAAAGCGCCTATTTTGAACCAAGGAGTGCCTGGACCTCTTTCCTTTAGTCCCAACTTTGGTGTCATTAGACTTATTGTGCTACACAAACAATGCACATTTGCGGCAGGTTGACACCTCCCCCCCTATACAGGTGGTGGTGTCAGCTCATATGGCATCACCAATAATGTATATATCTTTGAAAGAGCCTCCTAATGTTATACAGTTTCAGATCTCACAATGCTATTTAAGCTATTTTTATTCTAAAACATGTAAAATAGTCGTCATTTTTTTACTCTACCACCACTGTGCCAAAGTACTCCATTCCCATTATTGGTGGTTTCCACTTTAAAAGAACATATCTTAACCATCAAAGGTCCTAATTCTCTTTTAGTATGTTTTCTTGTCCCAGCATGAGAGATGCTCTAGGACATCCTTACAGCTGGGATGTGCCAGTGTGTAAAGAGCTGTGTAGGCTCTCGGGATCAGGGCTGTAATACTGCGACCGGTTCATTGATTTGAAGTGGTCATGCTGGTTGGAATCTGTATGTGCAGCGTATTAGGGATGTGCATGGTAAAAATATTCGGTTCGGTACGGGATTCTGAAATTCAGCACTTCGGCACTTCAGATCTTCAGCATTTCGGGACTTCGGAACTTCAGGACTTCAGGTAGGGGTAGGGTTGGTGTAGGGTTAGGGGTAGAGTTAGGGTTAGAGTTAGGGTAGGGTTAGAGGTAGGTTTAGGGCTAGGGTGAGAGGTAGGGGTAGGGTTAAGGGTAGGGTTAGGCTAAGGGTAGGGTTAGGTTAGAAGTAGTGTTAGGGTTAGGGTAGGGTTATGGCTAGGATTGGGTTAGGAGTAGGGTTAGGGGTAGGGTTAAGAATAGGGTTAGGGTTACCCTACCCCAACCACTAACCCTACCCCAACCCTAACACTACCCCAACCACTAACCCTACCCCAAACCTTAACCCTACCCCTAAACCTAGTCCTACACCTAACCCTATGCCAACCACTAACCCTACCCCAACCACTAACCCCAACCATCTCCTGTTTTGCCACTTTTCAGAAATCTGAAGCACTTTGGCACTTCCTGAAATTCATCACTTTGACAATTCGGAAATTCATTATGGGTCCGTGAGCACTGCTGGTGAGTGTGTGGTCATTCTGGAAATGGGCCATCTCCTCTAGCCTACCCTAAAAGGGAGAAGGGGATGATGGGTGCGCTTATGTTTGTGGGTCGTTCCAAGAAACCCGATAGGCAGGGATGAATGGTTACCGTATTTGTTGTACATATTTGATCTGATGCGTTCCTATTACAGGGCAGTTTCCTTTTGCTGGGGTGTTCATGCCCCATCCTAATAAGTGCGTTTATGTGTTAAAAATTATAAGTGGAAATTAAAGAAATGTTTAGTAGTAGGGTAAGAGGGAAAGAAGTGGAGGAAAGAAGAGTTGGCGCTCGCCTCGGATGCAGTTCGAATTGGGGGAGTGAGAGGAGGTATAAATGGCCATGCCCCAGAGAGTCGCCCTCCCTCCCAGGGTGTCCCCCCATAGGCTGCTTATCTCTAGTGGCTCTGAGACACGAATGTATACCATGGTCGCCACATTTCTGCGTGTCTGTCTCTCCTCCCAAGAAGTGAAGCCTGGATCACCTCCGCCCCCTGAATGTCCTCCACCCTGTGAATCCATTCTTCCAGTCGGGGCGTCTCCGCCCGTTTCCAGTATAGCGGGATCAAAGCTTTGGCTGCATTAAGTAGATGACGTAGAATTGATTTCTTGTATGCGGCAATCGACATTGTTGAAATATGTAGAAGGGGTAGTGTTGCCGCCCACTCGGGTGTTTCACCCATCACTTTGACAATTCGGAAATTCGGTTCGGTTCAGCATTCCGAAATTCGGCACTTCAGAAATTCAGCAATTCGGCACTTAGGTTTAAGTTCGGCATTTCAAAATTCGTCACTTCACCACTTCGGACATTCAGAAGCATCCAAATTTCCGAATTTGCATTCAAAATGAATTGCACATGTCTACAGCTTATCTCTATGAAATGCTGCACTTTGTTGATGTAGGTGTAACTTCACCTTCAGCAGCATCGATAGGGCATCATTAGCTGGCCTGGAACAAGAACTGTGAGCTGTCTAATGTCAATTCTGTACATGTTCCTATGCACAGAGTTGCATTCACTGACTGAGTGCACTCAGCTGACCATCTTAGCCAATGAATGGCAGACAGAATCAACATCCAGCTATTCACAAGCCTGATGCACATCCACAGCCATTGGAGGTCCTTCGCCACCTGGCAGGGAACCAGTTCAGAGGGCAAACCTTTGCAAAACGGGGAACGGTACGAGGGTACTCCAAGCTTCAAAACCACTACAGCACGTTACGGAGTATTGAAAAGACCCCCTAGTAAAGATATTATAGGCTTGCTAAGGCATGATGCTTTTTTAAAATGCTGAATATTTTAAATGGTATAATTACACATTTAAAACATGAC